TTCAGTTTTCCCATCTGTGTGGTGATGATAATAATACCAGTTCTGTTCATTTCGAGTTGTTTGAGAATTAAATAGTAAATAGTAAATAGAAGCTCGTTGAGCAGTGTGAAACACTAGCACAGGGGTAGTATTCAGGTTGAGTGGATGAGAGCCTGGACTCTGGGGTGAGACTGCCTGGGCTCAAGAGCAGCGCTTCTCCTGGCCTACCTCAGTGACCTTAAACACATTATGATGCTCTCTCTGATGCAGATTTTCTCATCTGTGATTTGAGAGTAGGAACAGTACCTGCTGTCAGGCCGCTTTGAGGATTAAATGAAATAATGCACCCTTTGAGTAGTGCCAGGCAGACATTAAGAACTCTACATGTTATAGGTATTTGGTTACCTTTCATCTGATTTTGAAACACATATTTTCCAGGTTCTGGAAGTAGGGCATACAGATGTACACATATAAACAAAGTTAGCAGTCCTTCAGAGAAACATGAGGGCATCCCTTGTCTCTACCGATAACAATGCTCTACCAATAACAATAGGGGCAGTAGCTGCATAGAAGTGTCCTAGAGAAGAAAGTTTCTGGCTTGATTCTAAGACAGAATTACTCATTAGTTCTTTTCTGGGCATCTTCTAAGTAGCAGGTGCTGAGAGTGTGAAAATAAATCAGTTGCCCTCCATGAGATCACAAGGAGGTGGGGCAGGGAGACACAGAGTAGTAGAATGTGCTGTGAGTACGCTGACAGAGCTGTGGATGGCACCTGCCAGGATGGAGGGGGAACCAGGTGAGACCCTGGATAGACCAGGTGAGTCTCAGGTGGAGGTGGGAACCAGGTGCTCAGCAGGTGTAGAGGAACATTGACTTACTACTCAGGGAGAAGTCAGAAACCTTCATGCTATTTTCATGCTATTGAGTTGAATCTTGGAGGATGAGTAGGCATTTTCCAGGAGGAAGCTGTGGAGAAGGGCATCCCAGAGAACTGCCCTTCTTCTGTGAGGTAGTTGCTGTCACTTGATTTTCAACTAGGGCCATGCTAGAATTTCTGAGTTATTTAGAGTTTCTTAAGATCTGTTCACCCTCTTTTCTGCAAAAAATAGTCTTCCTGGGCCTGTCATGGAGGTCTGCTTTCATCCCAGTGGGGTTTAGAGTTGTGCTGTCCAATATGGTAGCCACTAACTATATGTGACTCTTTATACCAAAGTTAATTAAAATTAACATTAGAAGTTGGGGCTCCTGGGTGGCTCCATTGGTTGGATGTCCGATTCTTGATTTGGGCTCAGGTCATGATCTGGTGGTCATGGGATCGAGCCCTGTGTGGGGCTCTGGGCTGAGAGTGGAGCCTGCTTGGGATTCTCTCCCTCTCTCACCCTTTATCTCTTCCCTGCTTGTGCACACGCTTTCTCTCAAAAAATAAAAAAAAATAATAAAAATAAAAATTTTTTAAATAAAATGAAAGTTTGAGGCTCTCAGTCACACTGGTCACATTTCAGGTGCTCAGTAGCCATATATGGTTAGTGGCTTCCACGTGGCCAGCCCAGACATGTCTATCACCACAGAAAATTCTGTTGAATAGTACTTTTCTAGAGAGTGCCCTGGCATCACACACAGAAGGTAGTGGGACATTTCTCTCGGCTCCCTCTCAACTCCTTCTGTTATGAAACTCCATGCTGGGTATTCAGGCCCTCAGGGGTTTCAGCTAGTTCTGCGCCAGGGTCTTTAAAAGCCAGAAGCCATCCAGTTAGACCTTATGCAGTGACATCTGCTTCCTTTTGGACTGGAGTAGTCCCGCCACACCCTGCCTGGATTCAGCTTAAAACAGAGCATGGGAGGGTGAAGATCTGATTCATTTCAAAAATTGAGGAAGTAAAAGAAAGCTTTTATTTACCCCTCTTCACTAGCACAGAAATCCTCCTATGAACTCACATAGGCTTGGTTCTTGTAATATGTGTGAAGAGAGCTGGTCAGAGGGAACTTGCTTGGAGGTGACACTGCCTTTAGGGGGCTTGGACGAAGACCGCTGCTCTAGAATTCTTAGAGTCATGCACAGGGGTAAATCAGGGAATGATCAGTACTGTAAGGAGATTGCCCGAATCCAGGTGATTAATATCTGATGCTGGATTTTGGCTTTGTGTTCAAGAACTCTCTTTGCAGGCAGACAAAGCTCACTGCTTGGTAGCGATCATAGCCAGGCATCCCTGGATGTGCCCACTGCCCTCGATGGAACAACAGATTATATTTGGACCAGTATCATCAGAGGAGCCAAAAGAATGTGCTCCTCAGAAATGATAATCCTGTTGTAAAGTAAAAAGAACAAAGCATCCTCTCCATAACACTTAACTTCTGAACCTGCTGTCAGTACCATTGTGTTCAAGTCTCCATTATGACTTGTGATTCGCCTCAAAATCATTTTATTGTGTTCCAGTGTCTCTGGAGATTACACAGTGCCAAGATCTGCGTGTAATGGGTAATAATTACAGTTTGAGAGGTTTGGGGGAGTTTGATTTACAGCTACTGCGTGACCTGATTTTAGGAGGAGTTTAACCTACCTTAACCCAGGTTCAGTTATAATTTTCCAGAGTAGCTTTCATTTTAGGAATCTAAATCCATCTGGATAACATGCTGATGTTATAAATTATAACATCTACCCCATCTGTTGAAGTAACTTGCAGTTTCAGAGTTAGCCTGTCAGTAAGTCTGCAAGAAGAGAGAAATCTTTTTTCCAGAATGCTGCTTCTCCTTCACTAGTGGTTTGTTAGCCCCTCACCTCTGAAGGGGAGTTTTCAGTGTCAGTGAAAAATCTCCCTGGTTCCATAACAATCAAACACAGAGTCTTGAGACCTCAGTCATGTTTAGTCTCAGGGCAAGCTAGTTACCTGTTGCCTTGTTTCAGCTTATGGTTGTCCTCTGGAATCTATCAATAGGATGAGGTGTGTCTAAAAAGGTACAACAGACCAACAGTAGCAGCAGGTCCATATCTGTTAGAATTTAATATGCGTATCATTTGAGCACCTACAGTGGACAGTTTAGCAGCTAATCCAAGAGGCTTACCAGTATCAGTGGTGCCACAGATTGTGTTGGCCCAGTCTTGTCAAGGATAGGGCAGAAAGGTAACTGGATGTAATGGAGGTAAAGCACAGGCTTTGGTAACCCTGCTGGGCATCAGCGCAGTAGAGCTGGAGGCCCGAGGAGAGAGGTTGTGACTCTTCTTCTGTTTCAGAGATGCTTCCTATCTATGAGTGGGGGAATCTTCCAAGCCTTTCAACATCCCCAGTTCTTATCCTGGTGTTTCACTGGGGTTGAGCCTCACAGGGGTTGAACGCTCTGACTTCAAGGTGCAGGCCCTGGGGCCTCCTGAATGGTGCATGGGAGAAGAGAAGGCAGGAGAAGGGCTGAGTGGTTCGTCTTGGCTGGGAAAGAACAGATGATTTTTTTAAAAAAAATTTTTAATGTTTATTTTTGAGAGAGAGAGAGAGACAGAACATGAGTTGGGTAGGTGCAGAGAGAGAGGGAGACACAGAAGCTGAAGCAGGCTCCAGGCTCTGAGCTGTCAGCACAGAGCCCAATACAGGGCTCGAACTCACAAATGGTGAGATCTTGACCTGAGCCAAAGTTGGACGCTTTACTGACTGAGCCACCCAGGTGCCCTGAGAACAGGTGATTTTTCAATCCCCCTTTTATTAAAGTAAAATAGAGATGGTTTTATTTAATGTTTTGTTCTGGATAATTAGGGTTCAATTCTCAGTTAACTTTATTAATAATAAGACTAAAGGACTGTAATGATCCATCCATTGCCCTTTCACCAGGAGGTTTTTGGGTTTTTTTCCCCTAAAATAAGATACATAGTATCAATACGGAGCTAACTGTGGAACAGGAGGAGAAAGAGCTTCTCTCTGCAGTGGTGAAAGGGAACAGGGGGAGAATAACGCTCCTCCTCCCAAATCCGAACTTGCTGAATAAGTGAACGATGTTACCATCTCTCCAAGATGTGTTTGCATACCTTCTATATGTTTTGCAATGTTAGTGATTCATCTGATGAATTACAATGGGAATAAGAAGGGAAATTGGGAACATGAGTCAAACCTCATGAGTTTGGACTGGTTGGGGGAAAGACTGGTCTTAATTAGTGTGAATTCATGAGGCATCTAAACTATATATACATATAAAACTTAATATATATGAAGAGTTTTACTGTTTTGAATATATTTAGGACAAACATATGGAGACATAAATATAGAAGCATATGTATATACATATATAAACATATATACATATATATGGGTGTATATATATGTTTATAAGTAAATACTTGTATTCCTTTAAATGCCACTGAAGCATGATTTAGGAGTAGCTACTGTAGAAAGTACTTGAAGACCTGGATCCATCCTGGTTCTGTCACTGACTTGCTGACTCCAAGACCAGGGTCCTCATCTTGGCACTATTGATATTTTGGGCTGGATAATTCTTTGCTGTGTGAAGCTGTACTATTCACTGTAGGATGTTTAGCAGCGTCCCTGGCCTCTCTGTACTGGCTTCCGGGTGCAACTCCCTGCCCATGACAACCAAAGATGTCGATCATACACTTCTAGACATTGTGCTGGTTGAGAAGCACTGTTTAAGACCATGTTGGATCACTATCCAGGCCATAGAGTCCTCGTCAATAAACTGAGGAAGGCAACTTCCAGTCCCCTTCCAGATCTAATGCTTCTAGGATGCCAGACACAGAAGCTACCTAACAGCTATGGTGTGATAACTGGGTGCATAGGTGGAAACGTACTCTGAAGGGTAAACGTGCACACCCTCATTTATATTATCCATTTGCTTATGTAACCTACCTGGCTGGCCCAGTTACCAAATACCAGAAGATGAATGATACTGCACTGTATTCTTAAGAACCAAAATGGACTTACAGTTGCTGTTACTTTTTACGAAACTTTATCCACACAGCTATATTTAACTGAAGAAAGTTCTGGAAATGATTTGGCTGAAATACCTGCTTTTCTTTCCCACAGGAATTCTTACATTAAAGAGAGCAAATGAACTTCTGAGCACATGTGTGCCAGGAAGTTTTCTGATCCGAGTCAGTGAAAGGATCAAAGGCTATGCCCTGTCCTATCTGTCTGAGGATGGCTGCAAACATTTCCTCATAGATGCCTCTACGGACTCCTATAGCTTCCTGGGTGTGGACCGGCTCCAGCATGCCACCCTGGCGGAGCTGGTGGAATATCACAAGGTGAAACCATGTGCAGACTAAATTTGGTCTGTGAATTGTTGTCCTGCAGCAGCCCAGGCAATGAAAGGCAATTACAAGAAAAAAGATTGAGACAAGTAATGGGGGGATTAGTCCTTGATAATTCTTCCAGATAATCAGGATTCTTAATTGCATTTCCTTTATCATTGAACCTAGTTCTTCCTCAAATATTCAGGGAGAACCCGCTGGGGCAGAGAATGTAGAAGATGCTAAAAATCTGTGCACACACTGACCACATCTGAGACCACTCTTACTTAGAACTCAAGCCTGGGAGGGAAATTTGCAGATGAGAAAAATCTCTTTTAAGATTGTCATATACCAATAAAGCTAAGGGCAAGCAAGAAGTTATATACCCTGAGGGGGCAGAAAGGACATGATGTTATTATTTATGCTGTCTTAACAACCTGCCTCCCCACAGCCCAGCCTGACCTATGCCTTCTGATTCACAGGAGGAACCTATAACTTCCCTGGGGAGAGAGCTCCTTCTGTACCCCTGTGGTCAGCAGGATGAGCCGCCCGACTACCTGGAGCTCTTTGAGTGACAGTCTCCATCGTGTCATCCTGTAACCTCCAGCTGGGCTTTCCTCTGGACAGACATCACTGAAATAGACATTTGTATGTGAAGCCAAAGTCACCCTGCAGCAGAGCCAATGCTGATCAACTGGAAGTATCCTTAAAGCCCCACGGAAGTCTCTCTTCTGCACAAATGCTGGAGTTTAATGTTAAAAGAAAATTGCCTCTGCAGGATATTCACTCTGAAAGTAAAGAGAGATGATTCCCAATTTCAGCAACTACCTAACATGAAGGATACAACCTTAATGATGTATATAAAATGAACAAAGAAGGAATCAAAACCTTTTAGGAATTAAGGCATTACTTCAAAAACTAGTAGCTCATGTGAAGTATTTCATGACCCCTCTTTGCGTCATTTTGAAATGTCTCAGGTTTGTGTTTACATTAAGTTCCATGTTGGCTTTGGGGAGCTGGCAAAAAAAGCCTTTACTCGTGACTGAAATGACCCCACAAACACACTTCATTTATCACGCATGCTGGAGCCAGGATGTAAGAGACACAGAAGAACAAAAGTTGGGAATGTAAATTGAATGAGGAGTTTAAAAATGTAGGAGAGGCTTAACATGTAAAGAAATACCACGGACCGTAGAGACATGAGCAGACATCTGCGAGTGTGTTTCCATGAGCAGGACGGTGCTTGCCCAGTCTACCTTGGCTCCATCCAGGAGCACATCACACAGGATGAGGCATGAGGTGCTTACCGGTGGGGGTAGACCAGAACAGAATAGTGAGCTGTGTGAGTACTTGTGGGTTGAATGGTGTCCCCAGAAAGATATGTTGAAGTCCTAAGCCCTGGTACCTGTGAATGTGACCTTATCTGGGAACAGGGTGTTTGCAGATGTGATCAAGTTAAGATGGTTCATACTGGATTCAGGTGGGCCTTCAGTCCAATGACTGGCATCCTTAGCAGGAGAGAAGGGATTTGGAAACAGACACGGAGAGGTGAGGCAGCCATGGGACGACAGAGGCGGAGGCTGGAGAGATGCAGCCACAGCCAGGGAATGGCAGGGGGTGCTGGCAACCCCCAGCAGCTAGGACAGCAGTATGGAACATGCCTTCCCTGGAACCTTGGAAGGGAATGTGGCCCTGCTGACACCTTGGTTTCAGACTTCTTGCCTCCAGAACTCTAAGAGAATAAATTTCTATTGCCCTAAGCCTTTGAGTTTATGGTAATTTGTTAGAGCAGCCCTGGGAAAGGAACACAGAAGTTCACGTAATTGTGGAACGTGACACACATCACATACCATTTGTTGCTCTACAGTCTCCTCCCTGATAACGAAGGAAAAAGGGAGATGAAGAGTAACCTCCCAAGTGGGATGCAGATTCCCTCAGCCCCACTGCATGTCTTGTGCCCCACTGCATCCCCACCCCGGCCTCCGGCTCAGCAGGGGTGCTGGCCGCTGGGCAGTGACCAAGGATGCTCTTATGCTCTGAGTCACAGGTTCTTCTCCTGGGGAGATGGAGCCTTCCTTGCACTTCAGGCCTAGTCCCTGTATCTGCATTCCTCCAGAAGCAGCAGGGGCTGCAGCAGTTAGTCCGTGAGGCAGTTCGTTGTGTGAAATGTAACAACAGAGTGTGGGGAACGTGTGTGTGTGAGTGTGTATGGGTGCACACGTGTGTTTTTATGAGAAAGTTTTTAAACACAGATCATCGTAAAGTGTTACTTGAAATGTCGCATGTGTTTGTACAGTCTGAGAGACAACTGTCAGTGAGACATTTGTCCAAGAGAACCTGTCTTTGGCTTTCATTCCTGTGACTCAACAGCTGTGACCTTATAGAATTGCAAAGCTGGCACAGGACAGGAAGTCACAAACTTCTATTCTGTCTCCATATCTTCCCACCATTAGCTCTCTGAATGTCAGCTTTCACTTCTAATACAAAAGCACATTTTTAAAAATTGCAGCGTACTTGACATTAACATTAAATTAGTTTCAGGTGTATAACATAATGATTTGACATTTTGTATACACTGTGAAATGATCACCATTATAAGTATAGTTATCATCCATCACCTTACAAAGTTAAAAAGTTTTTTTCTTGTGATAACTTTTTTAAGATCTACTTTCTTAGCAACTTTCAAATATGCACTATAGTATTATCAACTCTAGTCACCATACTGTACATCCCCATGACTTATTTATTTTATAACTGAAAGTCTATACCTCTTGACCCCCCTTCACCCATTTTGCCCACCCCCAACCCTCCTTCCCTCTGGCAACCACAAATCTATTCTCTATCTGTGAGTTTGGCTTGGTTTCGTATGTTTTTTAGATTTGACATGTAAATGAAACCATAGGGTATTTGTCTATCTCTAACTTATTTCACTTAGCATAACACCCTCAAGGTCCATCCATGTCACAAATGGCATGATCCCTTTTTTATGGTTGAGTCATATTCCTGTGTGTGTGTGTGTGTGTGTGTGTGTGTGTGTATGTGTGTATCACATCTTTTTATCCATTCATCTGTCAATGGACACCTAGGTTGCTTCTTGTCTACTGTAAATAATGCTGCAATGAACATAGGGGTGATGTATCTTTTTGAATTAGTATTTTTGCTTTCTTTGAATAAACACCCAGAAGTGGAATTACTGGGTCATATGGTAGTTCTATTTTAATTAAAAGAAGGTGTTTTTACTAACTGATTTTTACTAATTTCATTCAGTTTTTAAATCTTAAGGTTTTGAAATAAATAGAAAAGTACCCTATAGTCACTAATAATTATGAAGACATATGATTCCAGCATCATCCTCTGCCTAGAATTATTTTGGAGGAAATAAGTACAGTCATACCCAGATATAAGGACACTAAATAACATCCTACTGGGGAAACAGCAAATAACCTGACTGAATTAACATAGTACAAGGGGGAGCAGATCTGAGTTATATACTATTTTATCCTGTGGTTATTAATATTCAGAGGAATAAACTGACACAAACAATGATCACATCATCAAACAATGGACGTGATGGCCAGGAGTAGTACTTAAAATTCTTAGGGAGAGAGAATGGTAAAGAATTCAGAAAGTGATTAACACTAAATGGGGGTGGGGGGGCCCGAATTCTCAGCTCAGCTATTAGACACAGTCTCCCTGTGTCTGACCCTAGTTATGACCTAAAGCAAGGATGTCCATACCCTGGTCCTGGTCCCCTCCTTCTGCTGCCTCAACAAGCCCAGCCCCCTTAACCTGCCTAAGGTTTCTTGGTCGAGGATGTTCCTCTCCTGTTACTGTCCAGGTTCCAGCCTCGGGCACTCCAGTCTGCCTGTCACTTTGGGACTGTGCACAAATGCCTCTCACTGCCTATGTCGATTCTTCTTTCTCAACTCCCTCAATGAGATTCTAGAATCTCCTCTTCTAGTCATTCCAGACTCTCTGGCTGCCATCCCTCTACTGCCAGACCCTCACAATCATCAACCGCCCCCCCATCAGATCACCTGTAAGGCCCTGGGTTCTGGTCTCCTACCCTACCCTGCTATGGGAGGATGCAAAAGGAAGTTACTTTGTCCCTCAGCATCCCCAGCGGAGCTCAGTAATGCCAAGAAATGTTAGTGGGTCCAAACCTTAGACCAGGAAGAGGAAAAAGATAGAGTTAAGAAGAAAAAGGATCAGGAAAGGGGAGAAAAAGTGAAAACGAGGCATGGACAGGTCACTTAAAATATCTTAGATGCATTTATATCAAAAATTGCCCATCTGAGCTACACTCTGGAATTAACCATCGTTTGAAGTAAAAGAATGGCAGGTGCTCATGTGGCACAAAATCTGCTTGTAGATTTAAAAAAGAAGTTCATGGCCTGAAGTTTTACAGTAGCTCCTTTCCATAAAGACAGCTGTCTGTGTGAGCCAACTTTCTCAAATACGTGTTATAGGCACGTGTGAGCACACAGATACCTTGGGACGCCTGCCGTGTGATGCACACACACAAAAATGACTTACAGGGGACGCGTGGATGTATCTCCCTGGACCTCTGCTTTCGTTTTTGCTAAGAATGTGATAAATACTTTCAGACTGCATCCCACAGGTCTTTTTTTTTTTTTTAGAAGGTAAGTTTCTACAATTACATCTTTAAAGAACACATCTGTTTGCCTTATGCCTTCCCTTCCCTTTCTGCCCTCTGCCTTCCATTTTTGTAATCTCGTCCTCATCATTTTCATCTCTCCCTCCTTTTCTGTTGTATTTCCGGAGAGCTCCTCATCTCTTTTCCTTCCCCACCACAGACTATCCTGCAGTGTGTCAGTTCTGTTCTTCCTGACTCCACTGTGGACTCTATCATTCTATTTCCAGTGCACTTGCTGTGCTTCCTTCTGTCCCTGTGCTGGATCCTTACACTTCCTCCTGCTGCCCCAGACTGAAAACTCTCAGGAGGTTTACTCGACAAAAGTGCTTTTTTAAATTGTGTGGTAACAATACACTATTTGGTCTGGAGTTAGCTCGATAAAGTCAGGGTCAGGATCCTGGTTGTATCATTAACCAGCTGAGTGGAATCTTAAAAGAAAAAAAAAATACTAAGCATCTCAGCTTCAGCTCTCAGTCACCCACTGGGTTCTGAAGCTTAAAGAAGAAATACGTAAAGTGCCTGGCATTTATACCGTTCTCTGTAAATGGTAGTTATTCCATGTGAATCACGGGTCCAACAAAGCCAGGATCCCTGCACTCCATGCTCCTCTGTTAGCACCTCGGCTTATATAACCAATGGGCTGTGTTAGTAATGACCCATTTGCTACAGTTTCTGGGATGAATTTTTGGGGGGAAAGGGAAACTTTTACAGTAGGAGATAGAATTATGAGCCACACAATGTATTAGCCAGTTGAAATGGCTTACAGAGAGATTTCTACCTTAGTCTAGACTAGAAATGGCATAGAGACGGCATTCTCTTACTGTCGAATTTTCAAGGTATCAGTCTTTACCCAAAATCGATGGTTGACAAATTGATTCAGTTGTTCTGGAATTCCTGGTCACCAATCCCCAAGTATTTGCCTGCCTTTTTGACCAGAACACTTACTACAAACCCAGATCCCTTTGGGATTAACTCTGCTTTGTTTCCCAAATAGGTCAACCAGATAGGTTTAGCCACTGCTAAAACCGACTTGCAGGGAGGGGACAAGCCCCTGCCACCGTCATCAGTCTACGTCAGCTTTTATTTTCCCTTCACGAAATCTTCCTACCAGCTGAGTCAAGATCCTGGCAACCCTCCTACACACTGTGCCTCAACAACCAAACCTCATGGCAAACACCTTATCTCCTGGAGGTGTTCTCAGTGGTATGGCGGAGCTCTAGAAAATGCTTCCTAAACACACCACTGCTATTCCTGACAGCCTCACACATTCTAGGTGTGATTTTTACATGGCTCTGTTCGAGACTAATGACTAGAAGAAAGAACACATAGTTAAAAACATTTTTTTCCTTCAGCCTTTCTTTGAATTTAACTTGAGGGTTTTGCTGTTTGCTGTCCATTTTTATTTTTAAATTTTTATTTTTCTTAACTGTTTCAAATGGGGTTTAACATCCTAGCAGGCCAGGTGATGACTACTGTTGAAATTCTTTAAACTCTGGGGTTGAAGGGTACTGGTCTGGTAGCAGACTGGGGTGGGGTTGGAGACTGTGGGATTAACTGGGGTGGAGGGAATCCCCTCCAGTACTGTGCTCACCTCAATTCAAGCTGATGTCCTGACTCAGGTTGATGAAGAGTAAGGCCAGTTCACCAAGTGTCCCACCTGGGTACTGCCTGTGGCAGACAGGCTGTCTGCAAAGCCAGCCACCAAAGGACATTTGATGAGTCTTGGGCAGAGGTCGTTGAAGGTGTCCTGGCCCTCCCTGAGCCTCTGGGTGACCGGCTGACCGGCAGAGACAGCCCAGAGGCAGGGCCTGCTTCTCTTCCCAGGCCGTGACCTGCACCCTCCCTTGGAAGAGCAAAGGCAGACACAGCCAAGGGGCCCTGGAGTTGCCCACTCCAGAGGGCATGTTCAGAGGATCAGCGTCACAGACACATTTTGAAAGGCACCTCTGCTGAGAGAACATTCTCTGTGTATTGAAAAAACCACCACCCAAAGCCCCCAACCAGCTGGCACAGTCCCCATAGTTTTTGGCAGCAACAGCAAAGCACAGAGTCCTGCCAGGAGAAACAGCTTTGAATTCAAATATAAAGCTAATCAGAATATGGATCACACAAAGCTGCCAGTTACTTGGGTGTTGGGAGTAAAACACACCCACCTTTAAGGGACCGCCCAAGGGCATTATCTCTGATCAGCAATTCTCAGAAACAATGTCAAATCTTTTTCAAAAGGCCGCTATTCCCACTTGCTCTCCCCTCCCTTTCAAGGCAGCCTTGAAGTAAGTGCACGGCCCTGGGATCCTGCTGGAGGTCTGCTTCCAAGACTGCAGAGCCCGACTGTCATGGAGTTTCACAGCAGCTGGAGGGAAGCAGCCCGGCACAATCCATGTTTCTGGATCACTGTGTTGTTTTCGGTCACTGTCAGGGGATTTTTCAGGTGGGCTGAAGAGTAGAGAAACAGTGGGAAACTGAGGCACAAGATCACAGAGTCTGGACTTGTCCCAAGCCCAAACTCCCTTGTCTACCCTCGTCTCCTGACCTTCAAGCCTTCTGGAGCTGGTGGTAGGATGGGGCCATGATGTGTGAGCCTGACAAGCCAGCCACTTTCAGTCTGGGCCTCTGAGCGAGTTCATTACCACTTCTGCACCCGGAAAATGATATTACCTGTCTTAGAAGAGTGGCATTCTGTACAGAAGGTGCCTGGCTATGCACCCTACCTCAAACACCTCTGTTTCCCAAATGTCTTCAAATTATTGACTCCAAATTACTGAGTGTGCAATTTAAGGAAGAAGTTATCCATTAAAATTTACATTCCTAGTTATCCGTCTTCAGGTAGACGGACCTTGTTTTCAGAATAACACAAATAAAAGGACAATGGTGCACACGTGATGGGTTCATGATCTCTAATGTGCGACCCATATTGGCCCAAGAGATGCTATGGACGTGCTGGGAAGCATAATAGTTGTGAATGCAGAACTGGTATCAAATAATAGCTGAATGTGAATACCTGCTATGTGCCTCATGTGTACGGCAGATGTGACTGCATTCGCTGTCCTGAATGAGGAAACGGGTACAGAGATGCCAAGTGCCTGGCTTAAGATCATATAGGTTGCAAGTGAAAAAGCTAGAATTTGAGCCCAGGCAGTCTGGCCGGGGAAGCCTTGGTATTAACTACCACACTGAACACTAAGATTAGATAACATTAGCTTTTCCCTGAAACAAAATTTATTGAAATTAGGTTCTGGGCAGCAATTTTCATACATTTCAGAACTGCGTATGATGTCTACTTGAGGGTGACAAAATCTTCAAAGCAGGGCTGTGTGAGGTTCTGTTCACCTGTTGCAAATTCCTAGGCCTGATTCTTTCATTGTTGTGTGGAGAGAAGCCAGTTTGCCCACATTTATGAACACAGAAGGGGTGCTGCAAAGTAGACGGCTGGACGGACGCCAGCACAAGGAGAACAGGTATGTCACTGGGAGGCAGTGGTGTGCTGGTGAATAGTTAACTGGCTGGGATGGGGAGTGGGTGGTGGGGCAAACAAGCACTTCTCACAAGGCTGCGTCACCACACCAGGGCTCAGAGAAGACCCAGGTCTGTAGCAGAGACCCCAGCTCCAGAGAGACGGCTGGGCCAGTTACCAGGTGACTTCTATACCGTAAGAACAGAGGGAGGATGTAGAGAGTTGGAACAAACCTTAAACACAAGACTCAGTGCTTCCTCGGCAGTATCTTTCCTTTAGAAGATGTCATGACTGGGTCTTTCAAACCAGAGTTCATTACTGCTTTCCTTTGCTGCTGAGGTTAAATTCCAAGCCCCTCAATGTAACGTTTCAGTGGCGCTTTCACCAACCCTTCTTTTGTATGTGTCTTGGTCCAGGGAAGGGGGATGGGTCCTGCTATGGACTGAATGTTTGTGTTCCTACAATATTCAGATGTTGGAGCACTAATGTGATGGTATTTGGAAGTGAGGTCTTTGGGAGGTAATTAGGTCATGAGGTAGGCTCCACGATGGAATTAGTGCCCAGAAGACAGCCAGCCCTCTGCTCTCAGCCCTGTGAGGATGCAGGGAGATGGGTCTTCACCAGACACCGGATCTTGATCCTGGATTTCTCAGCCTTTAGGACCCGAATAATTATTTTGTTGCTTAAGTCACCCAGTCTAGGTATTTTTGATATAGCAGCTCAAACTAAGATCCCCTCTTACATGCACTTTCAGAGGGCTCATACTGTTTGTTTTTTAAAATTTTATTTTTAAGTAACCTCTACCGCAACATGGGGTTTGAACTTGCAACCCCCAGATCAAGAGGTGAATGCTATACCCACTGAGCCAGCCAGATGCCCCAAGAGGGCTCCTACTTTTTGATAAAACTGCTTTAGCTAAGTTCTAAAAAGGGAGAAATGGTTCAATATTATGCTGTTTCCTCTTCTCTTCAGCTACCCTCAGCAATTCTTAACCAATTGCTGAAACTCAGTTCTTAATCACTGCCTCAGGCATCTGTGAGATGCAATTTAAACAAGCACAAATGGCTAGTTAGCCCACAGTACAGCCTGGGACTGTAGCATCTGCAGGACACTTAGACCTAATTCCATGATCACATTTGCTTCCTGTTGCCTGCCTATTGGAAGTACGTCCTCCAGACACTGGAAGAATATAGGAGGAGTGTGCTGGTCAGTCCCACAAAGTCAGACGTGCCCAGAATCTCTAGTATCACCAGTGTATGTGAAAATTAACTCAATTAGAAAGGGACCTTGGGAACCGTTTCTCAATTTCTTCTAACTAAAAAGGACAAGTAGGGGCACCTGGGTGGCTCAGTCAGTTAAGTGTTCGACTCTTGGTTTCAGCTCAGGTCATGATTTCATGGTTCATGGGATCGAGCCCCACATTGGGCTCAGTCCTGGCAGCATGCAGCCTGCTTGGGATTCTCTCTCTCCTTCTCTCTCTGCCCCTCCCCCCACTTACGTGTGTGCACACACTCTCTCTCAAAATAAATAAGCTTTAAAAAAAAATAAAAAGGACAAGTAAAATGTATTCACAGCCAGAGTTTTCATTATGGTTCTCTCCTTCTATACCAGTGGTTCTCAACCAGGTGTAGTTTTATGTCCCCCAGGGGACATTTGGAAATGACTGGATACATTTTGGTTGTCAGCCTAGGTGAGAGATGCTCTTTGCATCTAGTGGATGAAGGCCAGAGGTGCTGCTAAATGTCCTACAGTGCACAGGACAGCCCCCACAACAAAGAATGATCTATCCCAGAATGTCTCTAGCACTAAGGTTGAGAAACCCTGGTCTCTGCACATGTAAAAAGTTTTCCCAAAACTAAAAACATGGCATTCTTGCTCCAAGAAGAAATCATATCCACAAATCATATTTTATTAGCTCTCCAATGCCACCTTACATTCATGTCCTGCGTTTTGATTAAAATTTATGAACTACCAGTACAAATCAATATAATGCATTTTTTTCTTTCTCTTTGTTTTTTTTTTTTTTTTTTTTTTTTTTTTTAACACACCAACAGCTTGAATGTTCCTGAAGCTTTTAAACAATGAGTTGACTGGGGGCAAACAGAAGGCAAGGAATCACAGATAATTAGCTCATGCATCTGGTGCTGGCTAATAAATAATTTTCACATGAATGTAGAAATCACTCAATGTTAACTGTATTTATTTTTTTAAATAGTTGGAAACTGTAATAAAATGCCATTTTCAGAAGTATCTTAGTGACTCAGTAGAACTGCGTCATTTAAAAAATAGTTACTTCCCTAGGTGGGGGTAGGTGAACATGTAGCAAAGTCTTACATCTCACTTGACTCTGGCAGATGGAGTGATCTTTCACAAAATACATTTGTCTGCATTTCTTCTCATGAAAGCCAGCGGCCAGGAAGAGCACCCTGCTTTGAAAAGAGATTGTTTGGTTCACACAGTATACTTTGGTTTATTTAAACAGGTAAGAAAGTGATCCCCAGTTCTCCTGAGGATAAAATGTATTTTTTGACTTCTGAATAAATCAAGATATTACCAGTCTGAATGAGTTTTCCTTTTCTGCTAAGGTAAAAAGTATATCTTTCTTTCCCTCCAGTGTTCGGTTGCTCCCCTTGGGAAATATTCTTCAGATAAAGTATCTATATGTCTTGATGTATCAGTAGCCCCACACCATGACTTCCATATGACCAAAGATCTGACATTCGGTGTCTGACGGGATCAGCATTTGGCATGTCCTTGGATATGGGGATCAATCTGAACGAAAAGTTCTCATAATATACCTAAAAGTATTTTCTTAAAAGATATAAAAATGTATGCTAACTTGTGCTCTCTTAGTAAGGCTTGCAAGTTGGTAATTAAATAAGCAGAATATAACTCATAAGCCAAAAAAGTGCATTTTTAAATAAAATTGAGAAATGGAGATGGTTAAAACTATGATAAAAAAGATATATTATTTTTGGTTAATCTTGGGTGGAAATGGTACAATAGTTTCTTTTTTTTTTTTCCTTTTTGAGTCCATTTGGTTTTGTTTAATATACTCACAAGGATCGCCATGGGTGTATCTTTGAGTATCACGAAGTCTCCTCACCTGTCTTCTGATATTTTAGCATTCCTGGGCACTACAGCTCTACCAATATAATCGTTCATATGGGGAGACATGTGCTTGCCTTTCATTCCCAAGAACTTTTTACAAAACTGGTCTCAATTCATGAATATTTCAATGAGCACAAAAGATAACAGCTCTCACTTTGCTGTACACACAATCAGAACCTCCATGCCATTAGGCTTATAATCTCACAATCATTCTGCCTTTGTCAGACACTACATGGGATGCATTTGGGCTACTTTTGCAGGCAAAGATTTTAATTCCTGTTGCGTAAAGCCAAACAGGCAGAGAGAAATTGGAGGCTCTCCCCCTCGTCGCTTTTACTAATCAGTTGATTTCTTTTTTTTGCCCTTTATGGAAATCTTTTCCTTGTCACAGCCACTTATTCAGTAATCACAAAAGGGAAAAAATAAACCATCTCCCCAAATCTATCCCTGGGAGTTCATGTTTTTTTGCTACTTGTCTTCTGTTTCTGTTTGCGAAGGTGAGCCTCGATCTCATGCCTGAAGACCAGCATCCCCAACTGCCCATGGGATGCCTCGTTCATGGCCTTGGACTGCATGCACATCTTGTACTGCTCAGGGGTCAGTTCATCCACACAGTGCTTCTCATGCCAGAGGTGGAAGAGTCCCCGCACCGGCGTCCGCACCACTATGAGGTTGCTGTGGAGATACTTGCGATAAAGGTGCACATCCTCTCCACCCCAGCCTTTGATGTCCAAATCAAAGCCACCTGCCAGGAGAGAACACACCGCTGAATCGAGCTGCACAGCCAGTCTCCTGATCTGTACTTGCCTTTCTGATCTGTACAGAACTTTGCATGAAGAGAGGAAGCATTAGGGGAGATGTTTCACCGCTCCCCCCACCTCCCCCAAGTTATGAGCATGTCCATCCGGGAAAGGGAACTCAGGACCTTGGTGGCAGTGGTGGCCAGCACCAACTCCTTGAGAGAATAAGACTGCAAAGAGAAGCCCCAGCACCTGCCTGCTTCCGAGAGCCATCAGCAGTGCTAATGTTGGCCTGAGCCCCATATTAAGACTTTTCAGCTTAAAACCTTCAAATGGAAACTTGTTTCTGTTTGAATGTGGCCTCCTGTCATTCAAACAAAGTGAAGCAGGGGCTTGCAGCCTGAAAGAGTAATGGGATCACAGCATGAAAAAAACTACATCCCACAAAATACTCTGCCTTTCATACACTAAAGTGGTCCCAAAAGCTGTGTGTCCATCACAGGCCGGTGAAGTGAGGCATGTTTAAGGGACTGGCCTCCCAGTTCTGAAGTTCTACTCAAAAAATGTGGTTTCAGGGGCGCCTGGGTGGCGCAGTCGGTTAAGCGTCCGACTTCAGCCAGGTCACGATCTCGCGGTCCGTGAGTTCGAGCCCCGCATCAGGCTCTGGGCTGATGGCTCAGAGCCTGGAGCCTGTTTCCCATTCTGTGTCTCCCTCTCTCTCTGCGCCTCCCCCATTCATGCTCTGTCTCTCTCTATCCCAAAAATAAATAAACGTTGAAAAAAAAAAAATGTGGTTTCACTCCATGGTGGACGCCTTCACAGAGTAATGGTCCCTTAAAGTCTCACCTTTATAAACTGAGATGCCCCATGTCTTTTCTTAACCTAAAGCCCACTGCAAACCAAACAGAACCAGAGAAGACTTGTGTTTTTTGTCACTGTTCCTTTCTCGCCTAGGAGATTTATTTAATTCGTACAAGAAGGAGTAAAGTCATCCTCAACACCTTTCATCAGAGGTATCATGTAGTCCCTTTACCCTCTGTAGCCCCCAGGCTGCATTGCTCTGATCAAGGCCATCGCTGGGCCTGGGATAGGGGCTCCCGCACAGGAAAACTGCATCCCAACCAGGGCTGGGCTATGTACACGAGTGATTCGTGGTACCCCACTGGTGGGCCAGTGTACGATACTGAGTCAGGCGTCTAGAATTTGAGTCTTGGTTTGGCCACTTCACCTCTCTTGAGTTTTGGTTTCTTTATCCTGAAATGAACTAGATGTCATAACCAAATGAGATAGTAATGTAAGGGGCAGTGCTTGGTTATCTGTAATTTATTATCATCGGTATCATCACAACTTATTAAATAGAAGGTGCAAAAGTTAAGATGCTTACAAATAAATACAAGATTGCAAAGAATTACGTGGGTCCAGATGTGACCCAGAGATTCTTAGGTCATGGCCACGGCTTACTGAGGAAAAGCACCCTCACCAGCCAACTGTCCCCACACGTTTCAACTGCAGCTATGCCCCATCTGTAGGAAAATCCAACTTATTCTAAATTCAAATTGGATAAACATACACCATCAAAAAAAAAAAAAAATCCTTCCCTGTACACAGAACAAGGAAACAGAGTTTCTCGAAATGGAAATCTGCTTTAGAAAAAATTTTAGTCATTTTTAGAAATCTGATTTGCACATAATCATTTAGAAATATTTCTTAGAGAAATCAAAGAACACCTATGGTTAGTTGCCGGTATGTGGGAGCACCCAGCCACTCAGAGACCAACGTCCTGGGTGCTCTGCTGCTTCTTTAGCTTCAAGTTATTTCTTTCTTTCTTTTTATAGGGGTTCTATAGTCTCTGAAGTCTACTCCCCTCTGGACAAAAACCTGGGGCTGCTCAGATTGAGTCACTGATCTTAAAAAGAGACACGTTAGGCCTCGGGTGTGAACAGGAATCACCAGGAGAGAGCAAGAGGAGCAGACTCTGGGAGGCCCACAGGGAGGTGGAGGGATAGAAGTCTCCATGCTCTGCAGGGCCTCCCTGACTCCATCCAAGCTTGGGGTCTACCCTGAGCCCCTGAGCCCAAGATCAAGGTTTCGGGCCTGTTCATTCATACCCTAGTCATGTATAATCCACAGTTCTGTTTCGAGGCACATGAGTAGGTACCACTATGGGGAGGGGAGTGGCATTTCCAAGGAGGACAGGAGATGCTCTGTTCTCATCCTATGTCCCTCACTTGCTGCAGACCCTTTGCCTTTTGGTCTCCTCAACTGCAACCTAAGGGCCTTTCCTCTTGGTGCTCTGGGAGTGTGTGTGTGTGTGTGTGTGTGTGTGTGTGTATGTGCACACACGCATGTATGTGTTGATGGTGACTGTACACTCAGAGCTTGAAGTAGCATTTGGAATTTTTGCAAGTTCAGCAGAGAGAAATTTGGATATTTTCTGGTATGTGATTTTCCAAAATTTCTCATGTTGCCCTTATTTTTTTCAGTGGCCCCTGCTACTATGGAGGCCCAGAAAGTTCTGCATGAGAGGGACTACAGCCAGAACTGGGTTTGAAGGAGATACCTGCCTTGAAGCTGCCTTTTTGCAACAACTGCCTTTTCCCTGAGATTGTGTGCTGCAACTGGGGTGACTGAGAGGGGCTGATGGAGATTATAGGGGCTCATGTGTTGCACACTCCCAAGCCCTGTCCTGGTCCAGCGCCTCAGTCCATGATGAGAGGAAGGGCCTTTCCTAGGAAATGGCACCACCTTTGTCATCAGACTCTTGGGAACCTGCCCTGACTTCCTCGTGGCCTCTGACGGCCTCTTGGTGGCAGCAGAGGTGCGGACTCACGGCCCTTTGCCTGGTCTTACCTATATTGAGGAAGTCTGACCGATACTGGCAGGTCATCCCAAATCCAAAGTCTCTCCAAAATCCAGTCTCCTTCTTTATGACCTGCAGGGAAAGCGCTGTCATTTCAGAGGGGAGGATAGAGTAGATAAAAATAGAGAGGATTCACAAACTTGTGTAAGCAATGCTCAATAGAGAGCCCATCCCACCACTGATCAGTAGCCACAACCACAACCCCGTGTGGGAAATGCAGATGGATTTGAGTCCTTTCAGAGGGTAGGAATACAGTGAACTCACCAGTTCCAAAATGGGCCTTGTGATTTTTGGCACCTCTGGTTGGAATGTTTCTAGGGTGTAGGCATGAAAACACACAAGCGCGCGCGCGCACACACACACACACACACACACTCAAAAACAAACCAGGAGAGCAAGTTTTTGAGCAGCGCCATGGAAAAGCCACCTACGTGTCTGGCCCAACACCAGTGCCAGAGAGAATTGGAGGCCTCGGCCCCTCGCATAGGGCTGGGCAGGGAGCCAGCAAAGGGCTCAGGAAGTGGAGAAAAGGGATCGAGAACAACTCAGAATTCAGCTGCCCTGGCACAGGGCACAAACAGGACTCCCTCGGGGAATAAAAAGAAAACCTGAGAAGGCAGCGTGTTACTCTGGCTCTGCTAAGTCTCACTTGCTGAGGTAAAGGGCGCCAAGAGTCCAGGTTCTGAAGAAAGACTCTGTCCATTCATCTTTAAACTGTTTTAAAACCAAACTGTTCCCCAAAGCATCTGTGGTGGTGGCAAGCTGCAGGGCTGCCGAGAGACCATCCAAGCAGTGACTGTCTTCAAACAGCGAGACCTGGTCCTCCTCAGTCTCTTACTCGGCAAGTAAATTTCCAATGCATTTGCTAAAGCACCAAGGCTTTTAAAACACTGTAATTGTTTGGCTGAAATCACTCTGGGACTAAGTCTGACACCTTAATAGCTCTTTTCTATGATGCATTCTTGAGGTCAGCATAGGTGCTTAGTGGAGAAAGTGCCCTTCTGGGGAAGGGGAAGGGGAAGGAGGCTGCCCCTTCCCCATTCACTGGGATTTCTGCATTTTCCTGCCTGCGAGGTCTGGCTCTGTTCACTGCTAATCAGAGCCCGGTGTAGGCTGGGAGGAGCACCAGCATCTCCTCCCAACTTGACCACTGGCTGGCTTTTTTGCCTCAGGCAGGTCCCTCACTTCTTTGAGCTTCTATTTCCTTTCCTATAAATGAGGAAGTTGAGCTAAATCGAGGCTAAGGTCTTTTCCAGGTCTACTATCCAAACATGCATCCTCACTGCTTTTTCACCTTCCCGAAGTTTCATGTTGTCGCCACTACAGCCTCAATTACATTCCACAAATGGTTTGTGGAAGGGCTGTGAACTTAAACATTTCTCTACTCTGTAACCCATGGAAGCACCTTATTTTCATTACAACCTACACATAGATGTTGCCTGCACAGAGTGAACACACACGCGTCAGGGCTACTGAAGGGAAATAAGGACCAAGAGAGGTTTTGTCCATTAGTGGCCCAGCAGATGTGCTCCAATTCTTCTGCAGAACAAAGGCCTGTTATACAATATCTCCCAAGTGACAAGACAATTTCATTAGTATCAACTGGAAAGATTTTTCAGGGCAGGAAAGTTTGGAAAAATCTCCACTGAGTCATTTTTTAAAAATGGTTTCTGTTTCATACCAGGTACATGGTTTCTGTTGCAGCTAATGGCTTAATGTCTTTTCTGCTGGTCAGGACACAGTCCTCTAAGCTTCTAGGTAAAAATGGAGTCAAAGAGAAGTGCCAGTATCCAAACTTCAACCATTTGGCTGAGGTCTGTACGGAATCTAAAAGAGAAAGCTCCAAACAGGAAGAACAATGGGCCAGGGCTCAGACCTGGGCTGTGATGCAGTGCCCAGCAAGGTTGAACAAGGTAAAGAGTGACCCTCACCTGGGGACAATGTGACAGAGTCAAACTGATTTGTGAGCTGGGGAATGCACCTTATAAACACTTATTGATGCCAGCTTTAAAGTTGGCAAGCCAGGGAAAACCACTATCTGATATGCTCATTGAAATTTAGCCCTTGGTGGAAACTGATCTGATCCATACCCTTAGCATATAATGTCAGAGCAAGATGGAGTTCACGTATGACAGGCTCTACCATCCACAGCTGTGACAAGTCATTGGACTAGTGCCCTCAACGAGCAACCTAGCTGTGAGTGAGTACTCTCAAACATGCATCAGATCACAGCTCATTCTAATTTAAAACCCTGCAGGGGCTTTAATTGCATTCTCTCTAATGCAATTAGAATAAAACCCAGAGAAAACCTCTAGCCTGCAAAGGTCCTATGTGACCCAACCCTGGCCTGCCTCACCCATCTCATATCCCCTCCCACAGTGTCTCATTCTATTCTGCCCTTGAACATACCAGGCTCACAGGTCTCTAAGGCTGGACACTTGCAGACTCCCTATCTAGGTCACCTTTTTCCTGCTCACCACTGAGCTCCAATGTCACTTGCCTAGAGCAGTCATCCTCACCCTCCCAGCCTGTGTCAGCACCACCCCCCACACCAACATGTCACTCTCTGTCCCATCGCCTGGTTTACTTTCTCTACAACACTTATGGCTCTCTGAAATTATCCTGTTGATGCATCTGTTTCTCTGTTCTGTCTTCCCCTATGACCACTGGTGAATGTCTGCCCAGGGCCTTGGTCTCCTTCATAGCACCCAGATCACTATCCAGCAAACAGCAGGTGCTCAATAAGTGCTTCTCCAATGAAAGAATGAAGAGCAGTCCTGGGGCAGTGGAAACAGACATAGTTCAACTAGGGAATTCGTGAGTGGCTCGGAGAAGGCCTAGGAACTCCAGGGCGAAAATTCTCAGACAACAGACAAATACGTTTTCACCTTCCTGGGGACTGAGCAGAGGGCCCTACTTCTTTTTTTTTTTTTTTTTTTTTTTACATGCTAGGTCATGTTTTATTATTTAAGTCATCCCTGATACTTTATTTTTTTTTCAATATATGAAATTTATTGTCAAATTGGTTTCCATACAACACCCAGTGCTCATCCCAAAAGGTGCCCTCCTCAATACCCATCACCCACCCTCCCCTCCCTCCCACCCCCCATCAACCCTCAGTTTGTTCTCAGTTCAGAGGGCTCTACTTCTTAGAATCTCTGCCCCAGGCCTCAGGAGCTCCACTGCCCTGTTCAAGCTTTGAAAAGATACACACCAATGATGTTTACTACAACAGAGGAGGAAGAAACCCTAAGATTATACGTTAAAAGAAAAACATCTCCTGTCCTGAATTTCGCCGCTCCGTTTTCAAGTGCTATCCTCATTTTTAAAAAATGTCTTTCAAGAGCTGGCTTCCTCTCAATTCTCTGCAGCACCCTTTCTCTCCCCACCTTAGATCTCGGCAGAGCACTGCGGGACATGCACACACCACAAAAGGACAGTTGTGGAGCCCGCTCTCCCACAGGAAGTTTCCAGACCCAAAGCTCTGTGGGCGATTCACGTGACGGGGGTGATTATTTTCTATTAGGACCAAAACACAAAGCACAAATCAGCGTCTCTCCCCAAAGATGTGGGAAGGCGGCCGCCCTGCAGCTGCGCGGGGAGCCGGGGAGGCAGCGCCTGTTGCTTTAATGGTGCTGACTTGGACAACTGCCCGTGAAGCAATCTGGACCCTGAAATAAAATAAATAACAAATACTCAGGCAGAGTATTTCCTCTAAATCAAAGAGAGCCTCCCAAGAACCGAGGTTGCGTTCGCCCAGCCTCACATTCACAAACGCCAGTGGGATGTGACCCGTGCAGTCCCCAGGCCCCGCGCTTAGAGGGCTCCCTGCCTGGTTTCATGCGCTTCAAATTCTTAATTCTTAAAGGGCCCTGCATTTTTCACTGTGCACTGGGCCATGCCAACTATGTGGTCAGCCCTGCCTGTGAGCAGCACACATGCTGAGCTTCAGGGGCTTTGGTAGCTGGGCTGGGCACTCCACGACCCCACCCTGTACCTTCCTTATTATCAGGGTCCTGAGGGAGGCTGCGTGTGCCTTGTAGCACGGAAGCAGAGTGACCTGCCCAGGAGAACTCGGCCACTTATGGCTGAGCCCAAACCAACACCATGATTGCTGTGACAGTTTCCATTTCTTGAGAAGATACTCTGGAGGCACAGCTGTCATAGAATTGGTTTAAGAATGGACTCAAAAGCCACCTCCTCCAAGGTCTGTACTAACCCACATTTTTCTACAAATCTTCTTTTATTGGTATCTGCTTAAAAAAAAAAAAATAAAGTGTCAGGGTGCCTGGTGGCTCAGTCAGTTAAGCATCCGACTTCTGCTCAGGTCATGATCTCACGGTCTGTGGGTTTGAGCCCCGCACTGGACTCTGTGCTGCTGCAGCTCAGAGCCTGGAGGATGCTTTGGATTCTGTGCCTCCCTCTCCCTTTTGCCCCTCCCCCACTTGTGCTCTCTCTTTCTTTCTCTCTCTCTCTCAAAATAAACATTAAACAAAAAATTTTTTAAAGATAAAGTGTCTTCTGAAGGGTGTCATATTGGACCAGGAATCGTCCAGGTTCCCTATTCCAGGAATCTACCACCTAAAGCTCAACTCTATGCTCTCATGGAAGCACTCTGAGGTCGCAGGACACATCCCCTACCACCCAGTATCCTTAGCCCAGTCTCCATCATACGGGGCAGGATCTGAGTTCCCAGCCCTGCCACTTAGCAATCTGAGCAAGTGACTTATTCTCTAAGCTTCAAATTTTCAGCTGTGAAATGAGCATAATAATAGCTCATCATCTTACTGAGATTCCCCAAAATAAAGCAGGCACAGTGCTGGGTTCCAAAAGGCTTGAGTACGGCACCTGTTAACACTACTTTTGGAACTCAGTGAGTGTCTGCTTTCCAAATATTTAAAAGCAGACCAAAAGGATGGACTATGCCCAGTCAGCAATTTTTAGAAATTTAAACCAAAATGCAGGTTAGTGGTGAAATACTTCTTGGAAGTGGGTAGAGACAGGTAAGGGTATATAATCCAAGAGGGCAAGGACAGGAGCCATTAAAACATTCACACGCTGGACAGAGGAGCACAAAGCCACTGGATTTAAATGATGGGTGGGATGCATGGTGGACTGAGATGTCAGGCACCGCAGGCAGCAGAGATGGTGAGGAGATGGCCCCGAGGGGGGAGGCCGGCACACAGGGTGGGTATGCTTGCCTGGCAGAGCAGCTGGCCTGGGTGTCTACCAAGCTGGTACCATGTGCCGGGTGCTGGGGTTTGCAGACATTTCCTCTGTAACCAGTTTCAGAGTCAGTTTGTGGAGAGCAGTTAATCCCACAAAGGAATCGAGGCTGGCAGTGTGGTGCCGCAGCTGGCCAGTACCAGCTCACCAGGACTGCACAAGTCTCTTCCCGCCTCGGTGTTCAGTGACATCACTCTGGGGGCCTGAAATAGGCCACAGTGGGAGTACTGACACCATGGAAAGTGGCAAATGCTATGAATCAGGGCTTTTCTCTCCCCCACCTTTTCAGAGTGTGGGTTGTTAAACATTTACTAGCACACCACTGGCTCTGTGCCATAAAAGATTATTTAAAATGAGATTAATCTGTGTTTTGGAAACGTATCTCTGGCAGGGGGTAAAGGAAAGACCAGATTATAGGAGAGGGAAAAGGTCTACAGACAGAAGAGGTAGAAGATTCCGGCAGTGGCCCCAGCAGGTAGAAGGCTTGAGCCAAGAGAGTGGAATGTCTAAAGTTAATAATTATTTAAATGACAGTCATTCCTTTCTCTCTGAGCTGTTTCTACATTAAAGCATCAGCAAGTTTTATCTCAGGTTTAAAACTCAAGAAATTAAATGTTAGCATAAAATTCCATCATTTTGCATATTTTTTATCATTAATGGCTTGTACTCAAAAGTAAAGAAATAAGTAGTCTGAACACATATACACACACAAATCATAAATGTAGCTTCTGGCTTTACTCTGAAGACAGTGTTATCAAACAGCAGTGGCAATGGCCTGAGAAGCAATGACTAGCACAGGCACTAACAAGGTCACATTTGCAGGGCTGCTCTGAAAATTTGTCTTGTGTTTGCATCCGTTGGTAATTTTTGTTACAGCTACATTCTGGATCTGTATTCTCCCTTCACCTTGATACTGATGTATTCCAGGGGTGGCTCTCAAGAGTATCTCTATCTCTATCTCTATCTCTACCTGTATCTCTATCTTGTCTATATCTATATCTATATCTATATCTATGTCTGTATCTATATCCTGTATCTTTCATGAATGAGCCGAAATGAACCCTTGGTAGGAAGTCTTTCCTAACTTACCGTCTCTAATCATCTCTTTTTATTTTATACCTTCTCAGCACCTACACATTCTGTCTCCATTAAATTAATTTCTGTAGCTTTATGTTCTCCTTTGGAATTTTTGTCAGATCATTTCCTTTATATTTCAGCCCTCATCAATATCCTAGCAAATCTGCTTCCATTGCACTGGGGTAAGGAAATCCTGCTTTTGGCCTGAGTTCTGCTACTAGCTGGTTGTGTGATCTTGGGCCAGTCTATAAAAACAAAACAAGAGGGTGAGCAAAGTGACCTCCCCAATCACTTCTGAGCATAAGAAACTGTTTCAGTTCTTCTGACTCCTCCAGAATGTCTAGTCTAGTTCTCTGTAGGCGGCAAGTGCTCAATACATGGCTCATCTAATAACAAACATAATCAACACATCCTTTTTGGATGGAGAACCCCCAGTGTCTCAGAGACAACTGCTATGTTTCTCTAGACTAAATCATCATGAACACTGAACCCTAACATAATCAGATTTGCATGCTCCAGGATAGCTCTAAGGTGCATTTGGAAATAAACGTCAAATATCCTGCATTTGCAGGATAATTCAGAGGCTCGAGCTATGGATGCAGCAATCTGAGTTCTGTTTCTGCTTGACCATTAATTCTGGAGATCTGAGAAACTGGTTTAACTACATCATACCTCTAGCTCCCCTTTGCACCTGCTTCCCTGCAGGAATGGTAATAAAAGGATAAAACTTTTAAAGTGTGAAATGAAAAGAATTCCTTGCAAGCAAATAAGATCTTATGAATTTGAAGTTGAAAAATTAATCACATCTGATGTCAAATGCAAAGAAGTACTAAGTACTTTATTTAACCAAGGAGGCTTATTGTATCCCTTTCCCCCAACTCCCAAACCCTATTAGAAACAGAGAACTCATGGAAAGGAAACAAAAAACTTTTGTGTCTCCACAGAAGTGATATCACCCTAAAGTAGATAAAAACTGGTTCTTGGGGAGTGAAAAACTCTTACTGTGTTGACATATACTGTGTTTAGTATATGCAGCACACATATACTAAATACGTGTCATATTTGTGTATATAAATTACAGATACATAAACAGATATTCAGTATATATCTGTGGTATTAGAATTTCACTGAGGGGAGAGATAACTCATTACCATACTTGGTCATTACCATTACCAGCTTGGGCCCAAAGGGAAACCATGCTAGGATTGGTGAGGAGCAAACCTCGTCCAACCTCAGGGGACCAGGCTGAAACCTTCTGGAAAAGATCCTAAATGAGCTGCCAGAGGTTAATCGGAGGATTAACAGGAGAATGGACAGGTTTTGCTATTTCTGGAAGCTTAAAGACAGAATCAGTCCTCCACAAGAATTTCAAAGAACTTTCAATGAAAACTGATTACTCTCCCATTGCACAGAAGCAATGGCTTTGCCTCAAGAGGAGACAGAGCTACTCAAAGCGATGAACAAGAGACAGCCCCAGGTCAGATGCCCCCGATATTGAGCCCGAACTGGAAACAGCTGTAGACAAACTCAGCTGATCTCTCTGCAGGAAAAGGTAACAGTTCACGCTTGAGATGACAATACTCCTGAGGAATTTTGTCTCAGAAGGGCATAGGGTATGCCTATGTGCATGACAGAGACCCTCTTCTGGGGTCATCTTCCTCCTGCCTGCACAGCTTTTCTGCTGAATGGACTAACTGCCAACACCACCACCACCAAGACCACTCGGTGTACAGAGATCCTTGGTGGCTGTGTGGCTCCACTATCTATCATCCGTGCAGCCAAGACCTTGGCAGAGAAGTCCCTCCAATGTTCCTTTAGAAACCACCTTGTGGGGCACCTGGGTGGCTCAGTCAGTTAAGTGTCTGACTTCAGTTCAGGTCATGATCTCGTAGTTCATGAGTTCAAGCCTGCATCGGGCTCTGTGCTGACAGCTCAGAGCCTGGAGCCTGCTTCAGATTCTGTGTCTCCCTCTCTTTCTCTGTCCCTCTTCCTCTTTCTCTCTCTCTCTCTCTTAAAAATAAATAAACATTAAAAAAAAAAAAAAAAGCTACCTTGCTGGTGATGCCTCTGCTGCTACCCTGGACCCAAGGCCCTGTGGTTTGTGACAATGATAATGTGATGGGAAGGGCCCTGGATCTGTCCTTATGGCACCACTGACTCACTCACTGTGTGACCTGGAGTGAGCCACCCTTTCTGACTTCTCTTTTCCATCTGTCAAATGGGACCATAAATCTCACCCTTCTTACCTCATATAGTTTGTAATAATAAAGAGAAAATGTGCTTGTTGCATCCATAATGCAATAATAATAGTTTCCAAAAATGATATAAGAAAACTATGAAGGTGTGAAATTACCTTTCTGTAAGGTACTGTTCCTATTTATTTTCCACTTTTAAATATTGCAAGCACTTTTAATCAACAAGGCGCTGGGAGCAAAGGCCAGAACGTCTGACAAACTTAAAAATTACTATGGGAATCAGTCCACAGATTTCCACTCACCTTTACTCATGGTCAGGTGCCCCTGGTAATGAAAGACATGAAACATAGCCACACAAAGGCACCTGCAGGGTAATTACTCACCAGCTGCTGTTCTAGGGGAGGGACCGCATCATGATGGCCATATATTATGCCAGGATTGTACTGACTAAAAAGGACTGGATAAAATACCTTCTTCCCTGCAAACCAGAAAACAAACATTCACTTAAAGCAACAGACAACACTATTAGGTTAGTACACTTATATTCAGTCCTCTGAAATGTCCCAGATATTTGCATCCACTTTTCCTTTCTTATCACTCAACCCTAAAACAGATCTTAGGAGTTCTGCACAGGTAGATCAGAGGGACAGACTCTCAAATATCTCTGACCTCCTAGCAAAGAAGTGGTATTCAAAATACTGACAGTCCTTGGGTGCCTGGGTGGCTAAATCAGTTGAGCATCTAACTCTTGATTTCAGCTCAGGTCATGATCCCGGGTTGTGGGATCAAGCCCCATGTTGGGCTCTGCACTGAGTGTGGAGACTGCTTGGGACCTCTCTCTCCCTCTCTGTTTCTCCCCTGCTTACACATGTGCTCGGCTCACTCCCTCTCTCTAAAATAAAAAATAGAAGCAAACAAAAAAAAAAAAAACCCAAAATACTGACAGTTGGTGGCTGTGGCACTGGGTATCAACCAACAGGAGTGAGTGTGAAAGAGAGTTCTGGTACTCCCTGCCCTTCCAGACATTAACCCTTTAACTGCTGGTCTGTGGGAAGTCTAAAGGGTTGCCAGAGGGGTCATGGTGACTTTAGGCAGCAGGAGTAGATATAGGGACCCCAGGCACTTGCTCTTTACCAGTTTCCACAGAAGAGTTTCAATATTTTAACAATAGTTATCAGCTGAATATCAGCCCTTGCTATGAGTCAAACTCTGTGAAAATCATTTTCATATTGTGGGTTCTTCCCACTCAGAGCCCTTGCTCCCTTGGGAACTGCCCACAGCTATGCCTTTCCCTTTAGTGTCAGGCATCTTTCCAGTCCATGTCTCCCCCAAACCCCCAGCACTTTCTCCCGTGGGTGTTCACTCAGGCCAACCTCTTAGCTGAAAATGGTAAATGAGTTTTAGACTTGAACCTAGGCCAAAGAGTCCCAGAATTATGGCAGCTGACAGGCCCACACCATGACATAAAGGAGAAATTAAACCAGATGATTTTGCTTTTTCTTGGTCATTGGGTAAAATCGGGCCAATTCAGAAGCAGGACATCAGAGCGAACCATGAAGAGAACGAGTGTGTGACAGAGCTGAAGGCCACCCTGGGGGAGAGAAAGGGAAGAGCCAACTCCAGATCCCCATACCTGGCTGTGTGTTCAGCCTGCATGTATTGAGGAATTCGGAGGTGAAGTAGATATCAACGTCACAGAAAAAGAGAAGGACGTTGCTTCCTTTCCAGAAGCGGGCTCCAACATCAAGTCCCTTTCCTCGAGAAAACTCTCCATTCAGTTGGATGAAGGTAAAGTTCCTGAAGTTGGCAGCTCTAAAAGGGAAGACCAGACACAGTCACTCATGTGCTCATGCACCAGGCAGACAGAACCCCCTCAGAAAACACGTGACCAGGGCCCACCCACATTTTGCCACCTATATTTTGTAACCCTGCAGGCACAGAGACTACCCAAGAAGATACAGAATGACCAAGACTCATTGGAAACTCACTGAGATTAAAGGTACCAAGAACACTTAGTGAAGTTGTAACTTATGTTTTCTTTCTCTAGCAATTTCCCCATTATGAAAACTGTACTGTTATGGCTAATGGATATTCTTTGTGATAAAGAAAACTTGAACAAGTGGAGACTAGGTCAACAGAACCCAGGGCAATCTCCATGCTTCCTGAACCACCTAGTGAAACCACTGGGCCAAAGAAATAAAATCACATTGGAATGGCCCCACCTACCATCTGTATGCAACTCCAGAGACCAGGCATGATGGTCTTGATGTGGATCTATCCCCAAACAGGCTTAAACCTGGACTCCTTCCCCACCTTTAGGTAAAGCAAGAGAGCACGGTAGGGAAAATGACAGACTTGGATTCAGATCACCAGGGCTGTCCCAACCCTGGCTCTCCTATAGATTAATTCTGTGATCTAGGCAAACCCATTAATTTCCTGGAAGTGCAGTTGCCTCATCTGCAAAATGGGAATAATAACACCCACCTTAACTATCTCACAGAGTGATTAGTTAGATAAACACTGCCAAGAGTCTAAAGCAGTATGTAAACATGAGCAATTGCTATCATTAGCACAGGTGAGGATTCCCAGGCCTGTGGTAGTAAAGCCAAGACATTTCTTCACTTGGCTGTTCTTTCCCAAGGACATCAGAAGCTTCTGAAATGGGGCATGTCTTTTTTTAAATTTTTTTTAACGTTTATTCATTTTTGAGAGCTAGAGAAAGACAGAGTGTGAGCAGGGGAGGGTCAGAGAGAGAGGGAGACACAGAATCCGAAGCAGGCTCCAGGCTCTGAGCTTTCAGCACAGAGCCTAACACGGGGCTCTAACTCACGAACCGCGAGATCATGACCTGAACCAAAGTTGGACGGATGCTCAACCGACTGAGCCACTCAGGTGCTCCTGAAATGGGGAATGTCTTAAGCAGAAATTCCAGGAACTCATGTTGTACCTAGAGGGACAGGGATTGTCTTCTGCCAGATAGAACTAGAGAACTACTTTGAGTCCTAACCCTGTGTGTGCAGGGGCCTGGCATTCGGCAAATCTCCCTTTTCCTGCTCACACGGGCCTTCTTTTCATAATGGTTCCTCTCCTTCCACAGCCTGACTCTTCCCTCTACCCATTCCTAACTTCTCCCTAATCATTTTTTTTTTTTTTTTTGAGAAAGAGAGAGAGAGCTGGGGAGAGGGACATTGGGAGAGCAAGGAGAATCCCAAGCAGGCTCCATGCTCAGTGCATAGCCTGACACAGGGCTTGATCCCACAACCCTGGGATCATGACCTGAGCCAAAATCAAGAGTTGGATGCTCAACAAACTGAGCCTCCCAGGTGCCCCACTTGTCTCTAATCTTGATGTATTCAAAACAAATACAAAAAAAATTTTCCATTTTAAAGTTTGTATTCCAAGTAACCATCTAGGGTAAAGGTCAACACAAATATAGAATCAGAAACTTTTCCAATGCTAAGTTGTACTTGTATCTGGTAATTTAATCAGTAGAACTAGTCGTGCTACTCCTTCCTTATCATCTTCTTTCAGATCTGGGAGTGAGCTTGGTTTTTTATCTCTGGAATCTGTGGGCCCAACTTCACCTAAGTCCAAAGCCAGACACACTTTTCAGATTTAGATCAAGGCAGGAGGCCTGGTGACTGGAAGAGCACTGGTGTCTGAGTCAGTAAACCTGGATCCAGGGCCTAGATCCGTACCCACCCCCAATAGGGGCTCTACATATGTTTGTGATTAAAGGTGTGAACAGAGGAATGACTCTAATCCTAGCTCTGCCTCTAATCTATTTGGGGAAGTCATTTTACTTCTTTTGCCTTAGTTTCCTCATTGTGACTTGATGGTTACAGAGCCCAGAGGGTCCTTTCCACTCTAAAATTCTGTTTTCCTGAGATTCTGCCTTCAGTTCAGCACTGCTCTACCTTTGGAGGGATTCTCCCGGTAGATGGCCCCAGTTCATATTTTCTGTGAGTAGCACTGACATTATGCTCCAAAGCCTCTTCAGGACCTATCCTGGCCCTAGCTAGGACAGTGCCACCTACTTGTTGCAAAAACGTGCAGGTGGAGTGAGGCCCCTGAAGTCCTGCTCACATCTCCTGGAGCTTTCTACAGCCCAGCTCCTGTAAGGCAAGCTCAACCCACTTCCTTCTGCCCTAAGTAGGAGGTTTTCAGGAAAGTTTTACCCTGGGGAGGTGCCTACATTTTTCCCTCTTCCTCTAAGGGAGTCTCCTGCCAGTTCTCATAGGACTTATCCACACCCAGGGACTCATCTTTTTTCTAACAGCCAGTAGTGGGTCTTTTTCTTGACTTGTCTCAAGGCTCATACTGTTTGGGATCCTCCCAGACTGCAGGGATATCTGTTAGCTAATTGGCAGAGCAGGGAGGACTGGCATGTCCTTGAGAAGAGCCTTCCTTATTCAGCTTGTTTCTGACTCATAATTCAGGTACCTCCTCCAGGAGGTTTTCCAGGATCTATCATTAGAGAGTTCAAGTATAAAAATGCTTTATATTTTAACAACAGCAAGCAATTTTCACCAAAGGAAGAGAAATGCTGCTCCTTAACATGTTGTGTTAAAGGAACTGCTGACTTTCCTCCTTGAACAGCGTCCATTGTATGTATGTTTATATATATATATATATATATATATATATATATATCAATCAAATTTTTACAAAAGTTAAGTCACGTTGAATACTTAAATAAGAACACATGGCAGGGGTACCTAGCTGGCTCAGTCAGTGGAGTGTGTGACTCTTGATCTTGGGGTTGTGAGTCGGAGCCCCATGTTGGGTGTAGAGATTTAAAAAAATAAAATCTTAGAAAAAAAGAAGAACACAAAGCAGCATTAGAAACAGAGGTAACCGCATTAACTACATGACAGGACTGAGTGAATGGTAGAGACAGATGAGTGCCACAAATTTCAAGGAGAAAGTGGTAATTTGAAGTATGCACTTACCCAATATGTAACTTAAACTAGTTTGTTCTGCCTCCAAATTTCCCAAACCCTGCTTCCAGCTGCTGTGCTGCAGCAGGGGGCAGAGGAGGGAGGAAGATGGGGGTTGGGAGCTTGTCTGTCACTCACAGCCACTAGGAAAAGGGGTGGGGAGAACACTGGGCCTAGTGTTTGAAATGACCTTTGTTTGGAAGAACTTTTTTGAAAAGTCTTAAAACATCAGCTTCTATGCTTCAATGTGCTGCCTCTAGAGAAAGAATTCAGGAAAACAGATGCCAAGGGACCCTCCATATGGCCCTAATGTAAAAGACAACCTGCTTCCTTTCTCTTCATTCAACCTCTCTACAAGGATGAGATGATCCACATTATGTCCACAGCACTACCCAATCTGAAAATGCACTCCAAAGCCACTCTCAGTGTGTCTACAGGCCATGCAGAAAGCTGCAGGGCATGGCACTTGGCTCTGTCCACTCACTGTCCACACAGCAGCCCCTATGCTCCATGTGGGCAGGTACCCACATGGTACCAGCAACCTCTGCTTCCCTGAACCCTCATCCCCGCAAAGAACCCTGCCCCACCCACCTCTGCCTGGCTGCCTCATCCACCATGACCAGCACTGACCAACAGCGTTGTTACTGTCAGCCTCACAGTGTTGGCTCTGCACTGAAGGCCTGAACCAGGGAGCTGGACATGAGTGCACAAGGAGGCAGCATGGGACAGAGTCATCTGTGGCCTGGGAGGCACCATCAGCCAGTCATGGGTATTGGAGAAGGCCCAGGGCTAACTGTCATCCATCTGTGGTTCCCAGCATGGCTGCCAGGTTACTGAGCTCAGCTATGAGTCTGTCTGGAGCTGGGTAATAGTACGGTCCTTCCTCCTGATCACTCATCCAAAATACTTATAATTGCCCAATGTCTGGAGGAACCCTTTGCTCTCCTCTTGCTGTCAAGAAGGGCCTCTGATAATTAACAAAGAAATTCTCTACTAACAAAGGGGGCTGAACTGGAAACACCAGAAAAAGAATCAGAACAGCTTCACTTTCCCACTTTTCCAGAACAGAGAGATTAACACATTGTCAAACCTCTGGGCCTGGAAGCAGACACCCTCTTCTCATCTCAAACTCATCAGCACCAGCTCCAGAACACAGAGCACAACGAGATGAAGAGAAATTGGCTTCTGCGAGATAACCAGGCCCCTCCTTCAATGCATCCCATATCTTTACTCGGGGGGCGGGGGGAGGGGGACTTGCTCACTAGGCCAGAGTACTCCTGCTCAACAGTGTATGAAATAGTGTATTAAGAGGCAGTGAAGCCATGTAAAAGCAAGGACACATTTCAACACAAAACACTGATTCACCCCAATGGGGTCTAGCAGTGGGTTTGGGAATGTGCACAACACAGCCATGAGACTATAACCCAAAAACGCAGAACACAGAAGTGCACAGGCAAGGACCCTGTTTTGTCCTCTGTCCACAACCCCCCACCCCACAGTGAGCAGACAGAAAATGGTCACTGATGGTGTACCATGGCTGGGGCCTCCTGTCTCTGGAATACACTTCTTCCATCCACTCCAGAGAAAACCCCACTCAGTCTCCACAACCTGAGTCAAGTGTCACTACCTCTTATGCCTTGCTGCAAACTGAAGTGCCCTCTCTGGGCTCCCATGCACTTTGCCCAGTTCTCCATCTGTCCTGTGCCCGGTGCCTTCTTGTGCCTTTGCCTATATAGACACATACTTGATGACCTCACCACTCTAAGTTCTTGGCGGGCAGGGAATGCATTTTTTTTTACACCTTCCGAGATGATCTGGCAGTATGCAGTAAGTGGCACACAGAGGTAGGGACATAGTGGGTGATCAAGAAGC